GAAATACAATATTTCGTATATACATATAGATAAGGAGTAGTTATATTTTCTTGAATGAACACAGTATGTAGCGTATATTGTGAAACATGATTATAATTTTGTATCATCTATAATAAATGAAATACAAGATTTCGTATAATGTTTATTACAATATTATACAGTCATATAAAACAATAGTAGCTATTTTTTCTCGGAACCCACGGTTACAGATTTCGCTGAATTACATTCATCACGTGCGGATGAAGTACATACGTAACGAGTACGCATGGCATTAGGAACTGCCTCGGCTATTATCTATAATAACCTCGGAAATAATACGGAGTGAAAGTAGTTCTACCACGTGGTTTCAGATGTAAACATAAAGAGAAAGATGTATTTAACGAATGTTCATATAATTGACATCCAAAAGAAAATTAAGTCTGTTTCGTTACAATTATGATTGAAAATATATCTGACAACCATTTTTAATTTACATATGCCCTCTGATGTACAATTTTAAACAAATGCGACTGAATGTCAACAGCTTTCGGTTTCTACAACCATAATAATAAATTTGAAATAATGTATTGTTTGCTTTTGTATCTATGAATTCACTTATTTTAAGTGGGCATTTACTTGATTATATTGGAAATAAACTTGTCAACAACATCCAACATTAAATTACCATTTGTTTACATGTCTAGTTTCTTAGCGTAGGTTAGACCGAAATACCGTATCCGTTCTGTGTATTCATACTATTGTGTTCGAGTTCCTTATGCGAAGACTGACGGAAAGGACCGAGTAATTGCGATTGGTATGAACGGGTTACCGATGATGATGTATTATAAGTGTGTCATTAATTTGATATCATGCAAGTTAAAAATAGATAGGGTTGTAATAAATATCTTTTAATTTGACAAATATGCTGATTTCACGGAAATGGCACTCACCAAAACGTATGGCTAATTGAAATCGACACAATCTGACCATGTTAGAAAAATTATTGCTGGTGGAGTGGCGGAATGAATGGAGAGGCCGCACATATGCTATAGGTTCCGAAGTGCTGTGAGCTTATTCTTATATAACCCAAGACTCGACCGACAAAGCACCAACGAGGGAAAAAACTGTTTTCAATTAAAAAGGCTACTAGTAAAATGTACAGAATACCGTAAGGGCCATCGTGGCTAGACTTTCTAATCCAGAGGGCGACAATGCGACAGTGCGATAGTGCGATGACGACAAAAAAAACACGACAGTGCGATGACAACAGTGCGATAGTACGATGACGACAGTGCGACAATGCGATGACAACAGTACGATAATGCGACAGTGCGATGGTGACAATGCGATAATGCGATGGCGACAGTGCGATAATGCGATGACGACAGTGCGATAATGCGATGGCGACAGTGCGATAATGCGATAATACTATCGTACTGTCGCCATCGCACTATCGCATTGTCGTCATCGCACTGTCGCATTATCGCATTGTCGTCATCGCGTTATCGCACTGTCGCCATCCCACTATCGTATTGTCGTCATCGCGTTATCGCATTGTCGACTATCGCCATCTGGTGGACAATTATAAACTGCTAACGAATAAGCTGACGGTACAGAATATGGGAAAATAATTTACTTTTGTCAATTGATTTTTTTCTTCTTGTTTTTTTTTGTTTTCTTTCCTTTTTTGTTTGTTTTTGTTTCTTTTTTTTGTATACTGAAAACATCTAAATAAAATTATAAATTAATAAAAAGTAGCATTTTATATCAAAAGATAGGGGACAGATATTGCCAAAATCGATACTTTAATTGAATTAAATTCTTAGATAGGGGAAATACTTCTTTAAAATATAACGAAAATGTAATAAAGTGTGTGAAACTCTAAAAAAAAAGTCAAAAGATTTCAGATGAAAATGATGTTATGTTGACATTTAAAAGATGCAAAAAATATTTAATGCGTCAGTAGTACATAGAGGATATTTTTTTTTCTATAAATGCAGGATTTATTTTTATCGAGTGGTATGAAAATAAATATTCATGAGTTGAGCTATTATTATATACGTGTACTTTTTTCTATTTTTGACAGTTTGATAGTCTTAGCCTTAAATGTTGTATATCGGCTGAATCTAGAAGAAAGAAGTCCGGCAAGACACAAGTGAAAATACGGAGAATATGTTTCACTGCAGTCAAGAACAAATTTTACAGTGTAAATGAAAATACGCGTTTATTACTGCCAACCCGAATGTTATAGGCAGGTTACATTTCTAATTCATAAGTTTTCTCTATAATTCTAAATATATTTCATAATTATTCTAACTGGTCGGCTTTGTTTAATATAAAAAATACTGCTATTTCTATTATATTTTTGATTGGTCATCAGTGGCTTTATTGTTTTGTAGGATGTAGATTTTTCTATATGTTTGACTGGTCTGCAGATTATACTTACGTTTAAGTGGTCAGCAGTTTTTTGCATGACGTTAAATCTTCTGACCATATAGAATAAGAAGGAAATACGGCAAAAACCACACAAGCAATTTCTTTTATATTTTAGTTTCTCAGCAGTGGTTTGATTGGTTTGTGAGATGTAGAATCTTTTATATTTACTAACATTATGCTGGCAAAATAACATATTTCTCTAGATATCTAATTGGTCAACTGTTTTCCCTGTAAGTGTAACTGATAACATGATCAACACATTTTACCTTTTACCTAATATTGACGTGTTTTCACGCCTTTTTATCCTTTTTATCCTCCCTTTTGATGCCTCAAATAGTGAAAACCATGCCATATTTATCAGATACATCGGGGTGCAAGAGAGGGAGTAACCTCTTCTGCAGGGGGGTTTGAAGGGGGACTGAAAAAATTGGACTTGTGAGAGGCTTAAAATGGCATCAGGTCGATCTTAAGGTAGCGTGTAACCAACGCTGAAAGCCCTTCACTCTATCCCGACCCATCGGGAAGTTGCAACTTTGATGGAAAAAATTAACACAACATAGTGGTTTTGAAATGTCCCCTCGTTGTCATGGTAACAGGAAATCAAGATACAAATGCTTTGGCTCAGTAAACACTTGTGCCAAGTTTGATCAGTATTAAAGCATTTTTTTATAGTTTCATAGTTTATTGATTGATTGGGTTTTACGTCACACCGACACAGTATAGGTCATATGGCGACGTTCCAGCTTTACTGGTGGAGGAAGACCTCAGGTGCCCTTCCGTGCATTATTTCGGGCACGAACGGGTACCTGAGTAGAACCACCGACGTTATAGTTTCATAGCAATTTGAACTTGTGTAACAGGGGTTTTTTCAATGAAAACAGCCATTTTTCACAAAATGCTTATGCGGTAATGGGTTAACTGGTCAGCAGATTCTACTATACATGTGTACCTAAAGCACCGTACGTTAAGTCTGCTGACCATATAGTATAAGAAGAAAATATGGCATAAACCATAAACCAATTTTTACTAACATTACAAAATAAATTAGTACTTCACTACAACTATCATTTACCTCTGTTCATAAGCAGTTTCTCAAGGTTGAGCTAAATTCACTTTGGCTATATCTAAAACAAGTGGACACAGAAATCTAGTATATCTTTAATGTTTTTTTTTATTTAATCATATTTATTTACTATCTTTAAGAAATATAAAATCGCTATTTTCACCAAGCACCAAAAATGGCTCCATCTTAGATATTGATAAGAATCTAAAGAAGCGTCAATTTGATAGGTAGTTGGTTGATCTTAATCCGCCACTACCTACCGGCAGGTAGTTGCTAATTCGAATTTTGCATGTTTCCCTTAAAAAAAAACAAACAACAAAAACCAACAAAAGTAAACAGTAAGAATTTTTCCGGAATAAATATAATGAATAGATGTGTTTTTCAACATTGAAACACATTGTTTCACTATGTCCACCAGCTGAATCAGTTGACTATAGTACAACATGCTGACCAGTTAAACTTATTGTAGGATCTGCTGTTAAATTAATCTTCAAGTGAAAATTGTTGACCACTTATGTTAGATATATAGAAAAAAATATGCTTACGTAAATTTCTAATTACATGTATCTTTATTTACAATGTTAGTAATATAATAAATTTTACATCTTACAAAACAATAAAACCACTGATGACGATCTATGAATATAATTTGTTTGTCTTTTTTTATACAGGTAATAAACAATGATTTTGATTTTTTGCATCTTTATAATGTCAACATAAGATCATTTTCATCTGAAATATTTCTATTACATTGTATATTAAAGTTTCAGACAATTTATTACATTCTCCGTCTATGTATAACTCTTTCAGTATTTATATATAAAATGTTTCTTATTATTAATTCATAATTTTAATTAAACATTATTAGTATACAGAAAAGAAACAAACAAAAAAATAATAAAAGGAAAAGAAATAACAGCAAGAAAAAGATTTATTGACAAAAGAAAATTAATTTTTCCCATATTCTATAACGTCATTTTATTCGCCAGTAGTTTAGAACCGTCCACCAGAAGGCGATAGTCGACAATGCGATAACGCGATGACGACAGTGCGACAATGCGATGGCGACAGTGCGATAATGCGATGACGACAGTACGACAATGCGACAGTGCGACAGTGCGATGACGACAATACGATAGTGCGATGACGACAATGCGACATGCGATGGCGACAGTGCGATAACACTATCGCCCTGTCGTCATCGTACTATCGCGTTATCGCATTGTCGCCATCGCACTTTCGCATTGTCGTCATCGCACTGTCGTATTGTCGTCATTGCACTGTCGCACTATTACATTGTCGCCCTCTGTATTTTAACGTATATCCACGATGGCCCTAACGGTATTCCGTAAAAATGTACTAAAATTGTTGGCAGTCAGCAGTCAGCTTGTGTTATACGCGTTCTTATAAAATGTTTGTGCTATTATATGTTCCTAAACTTTAACAATGTTTAAAAATAAATATACATTGGTTCAATTAAAAAAATGTAATAATATACTTTAGCATTTTACATATTTTTCAGGAATAAGTTTGGAGCTCACAAGACACGCCAATGTACGTAATGCTGTAAGCTGTGACAGACAGAAGATTCGAAACAATGGCTTCATATAGCCCTAAACTGTTAGAAAAGAAATACAATAACTGGGTTAAAGCTCAGTTAGCTGTGTTGTTTACTAAAGAAGGAGTTGAACTTTTTGTTTGTAATGAAATCCAACAATTTCAATTGAAATGTTTACATGATATATGTTACTTTAATGGCCTACCTAGTGGGACTTGTTGTTCAAGTTGCTGTACGGAAAATGTTGTTCATTGCCCTACAGACAACATATGTAAAGTTAGGCGTGGGAAATGTACTTATCATCGAAATGTTTCAACAAGGTACAATTCTTCTGGCTGTCCTAACAAGATATGTCATAACTTCAAAACTGAAATACAGAATGCACATAGATACAACGGTCCGTCGTACAAAATCACTTATGCTACTCAGTGGTGTAGTAATTTCTGGGAAGTGGCGAAATGCTTTTTGCCCCCTGACGGGTATAAAGACAAGGCATCTGCAACAGAAACAGATTTCAATGGTATAATCAGCGTTATCCTTAATTACAAAGACTTTCAGGGAAAAGTACAGGAAAACCTCAATAATAAGATAAATATGTTTGAAGAGGTAAAACAATATATCGATATTATCTATTAACACTTATGTTTAGTTATTGGTAATAAAACAATGTTTATATATTTATTTGAACTAAGGAATTTTACACACCAGTTTGATATCTATAATAAATTGAGATTTTATTATGTTTTCTAGGAAAAATATTGTAGCCTAGTAAGGAATGATTTTTTACTATGACTTACCAGTTTGCTAGTTTATAGTATAGTTCATAACATACTTAGTATAAAGCTTAATATTTGCTAAAAATATAGTTTGAATTTGGAAAACGAATGTTTCTAAAAAGACTGTATGACAAGAATAATTGTATTTCCTTAAAAGCGGATGAAAGCACGAAATCATTGTCATACAGTTCAAGCTGTTCCCCAAAAAATCAAGAAAGTTAAACTTGAGAAAAATGTACTCTAACTTTTATAAAAAAAATTCAAGGAATAATTTACACGTTACATACGATTAATGATTTGCAGTATTAATTTTTAATTACCATATTTCATCTGCGTGACTAACGCAGAACTTCCGGCTATTTATGCATATTTGTATCTATTTCTAATAATTTTAGGTTTGCAATTTGTAAAATATTTTCTTAATTCACGTCACATTTTAAGTTAAAATACACTTTTTAATTTTTTATGGCAATAAACATGAATCTGGAGGCATGCAGCTGTAAAAACCTACTTAAAACATTCTGCATCCGAATGTTTTGTTCTGTTTACAAACAATATCCATGTGTGCTAAATAAAAGATACATTTTATGTCAATCAACATTAGAGAAACAAAATAATCAAATAGTATACTTTATAGAAATATTTTATTAGGTATATCTTTATACCCTTCAAATGTTTAGATTAAAATAAACAAGAACTATTATTCTATTTTGTCCAGGCAAGGGAAATTGGAAGAAATGTGCGACATTCATCAAAACTTGAAGTAGGTGATTCAGATCTTCAGAAATACTTCCAACTATTACAGCAACTACTTTCTGATCCTGTGTATTTAGCTACAGACACGCATGCGCAAAATGCTAAGCAGAAACTTATACAGGTGATTAAACTCAACATTTGAATGCGTTAAACGTTTCATAGTATGGCTACATCACAAAAAATTGTGTGTGTAATCTACTTAAAAGTGTATAAATTTAATAAAATACAAATCATGTTGTAATGGAAAAATACTGTTTCTCTTAAATTATGGTCGATTCACAAAAACATAGAATGCCTGTTGTTTGCTGAACACGTGCGTAAACATGATAAAATGTTCCGGAACAAAATGGTTTGCTGTTATAAAATGTTGACCGTTTTGTAACGGCTCGTAAGGAAATATACAAACATGTTTTTTTTCATCAATGAAATCTTATAAACCTTATAATTTATACTAATTTTCAAAATGTTTTGATTGTAAATTAACCTGGTTACGCTCTTGTGACTATGACGCGACACAGGACTAAACACTAATTTTGTTTACTACAAAAATTGGCAAAGATTTACTTTATACATTTTAATCTATCATAATTTTGATCAGTTTGTTTGTTTGTTTCATTTCACGCCTTTCCCAACAGTATTCCAGACATATAGGCGGGTAGTTTCCTAACTATCGTTCCAGGAGAGTTACATCAGTACTAGACTACCTTCCTCCGTGCTAAACTACCAAAGCATCTCCCGGGGATCGAACCCACGTCAGAGAGGTAACCGGAATAGAAGTCATCGACTCTAACGCCTCGACCACGGAGGCGGTTAATTTTGATCAGCATACAATTTACAAATCAGTGATGACTTAACACAAGCATTTGTTACAAATAAATATTGTAGATACAATATATCTTTGAAATATACATTTAATGATTAACAAATATTAAATTCTAGCATACTAATATATTACTTGTATATTTTATGGTCTTTATAATTACAGTTAGAAAATGACACTCTTGTCATTTGTAAAGATGATTTAAGAAAAGTACTAGACGATGCGGCAACAGTACTTCAAGACAAGATGACGACTGGATTAGATGAGCAATATGACCAAATTAAACTAGATATGATAAAAAGAAAACAGGAAGAACTTTTATCTCTTGTGTCTCAAACTGCCGAGGGAATGGCACAGATACAGGATAAAACTGATGTTTCTGTGAAAAGATTAAATGACGAAAGAGACAAAGAGGTTGATACAATTCATAAACAAGGAGATAAAGAACGAACAGACCTGGCTAAATTAGGAGAGGATATACAAAAGAAGCTGACAAAAACAAGTAAAGCCGAGGAAGAAGAACAATATATTGATTCTAAACAAAGTAAGTGATGTAACATTTTATCACATGACATCATTTGTTATCCATGTGATATAACTATTACGAATTTCTTTGTACTTAACACCTGATGAAATATAACCATTGAACCTCCAGGTGTGCTTCACATGATGTTCCATTATTTCTCAGTCCAAATATCTGTATCAAATGTTCATTGAACTCCATCTAGCATCGCTTTTCTTTTCCAAGTCCAAATCTAAGCCATATCAAATCCATTTTGTACACCGCCTAGCCTCATTTTCATTCTTCAAGTCCCAAATGTCCATATCAAGCGCATATTGTGCTCAAAGTGACTGCATCTGTAATATACAATTTTTGTTATACTAAAACACCTGAATTGTTGATCTTAGGTGTTATCTTTAATTTTATGTGTTTTCTCTTGAAGCGTTGGTGGTGAAATAAAGAGATCGTTAAACAGTGTTGAGTACCATACTTTTTTTTCTAACAAATATATTCTATCACAGTACTTATATGCGATTACCGGAACAAAAACCAGGGAAACATGGCCAATGCTGAAAAAGGGTCATGTGTAAACGAAATGCATTTACAATGTACTTTAATTAGTTAAGACTTATAGACAATACGAAAGTGTTGATAGGATAAAAATAAAATGAAAATCGCGATTTTTTTTTATTTAAAAAGAAAAATACAGTATTTGACAACAATATTTGTCCAGATAACAAGAGCAATATGAAATCACCAGATCAATACTATTCAAGGATTATCAATATTGTATAATAAACAGATATTTGTATATCTTGTAACACATGTGAATTATCATTATTGTGTAAAGATAAATAATAACTTGCAATATTTACCTTTATAAAAGTATTACGAATCAGTCAGTATTGGTAAATATTTTTCCTGACTGTTTGGATTATTTTAATTGATATTTATTCATGCAAACACATTCATGAAGGTTACAAATTGATATAATACTTTGTCCTCAGACATAGAGTTTGAATAATGATTATTTATGTATATTAATAATTTGGATTATATAGCTACATGAAAATATTATTATTATCATTCATTTTTCAAATTTTCATGCTTGTACCTATGTGGAGTAAATATAAAAATAATTTATTTATCTTTTACAATAAATAATGCATTGGATTTAAAAGCGTTCAGTTTATTTATGTAGTATTGTACAGGTAAACTAATTAAGTGTTTTTGTGCAACCATTTTGCCAAGTTCTTAGATATTTGACAAGTAGCATTGCCTAGAGAACATCTACACAATTTAATGTTATGTAAGCCATGCCATCTTTGGTCGGAAATGACAAACCCTTGGGAGTACTTGGTTTACATATCCTTGAAATTGTCAATGAAGTACAATGCCAAGGGTGTAGATATTTAAATCTAGCTTACACATCCTTTTTTAGTATTTCATGTGTGTATTATTATAAAGCCTGTCACTTCTTTTCAGAAACAAGTCATTGACATTTTTCTCAGAAGTTGACTTATAGGCCTATAGTTTGATTATTTTAACCATTGTTTTGAATTGTGTTTTCTAGCTCATCTGAGCACAAAGTGACATACCTGTGTCCGTCGTCCTCCAGAAAAATATAAGTCATTTTCTTGAGGAGTCAGTGAAAGATACAGAAAAAAATTGGCCCAATTTCAGAAGCTCTTGGTTCTTTATCGTACGCAGTGTTTAAGCACACAGATACGATACCTCGATTTAAAATCTCATACGAAAGACTGATATATAGTATTTTTTAGTTAACCAACCCGGGAATCGAACCCACTAACCGACTGAGCTATGCGGGCTGGCAGAAACATTCGGTGTGATATACGTTTTATCTGTTGTGGGCTCGGCTCCATTGCTGATATATAATTTATTATAACTATTCTGTGAAATGTTATCAAATGTCAATAGTACGAAAGACCGGTGGGGACATTTCAACTTCATGAATTCCCGATTTTAGCTTCATGAATTCTCGATTTCGACTTCACGAATTCAGGATTTCAACTTCATGAATTCAAGATTTCAACTTAACGAATTCAGGATTTCAACTTCATGAATTCACGATTATTTATTATATTTTCTTTGAGCTGAATTGAAAAAGTTATAGCCAAACTATAAGCATGTAAACTGATGGCAAAACGAGTTCTGTAGATTTATAAAAATGATTTTGTTAACACATTTAAACACATCTAGTGTATACGAATATATATAAATAACATGAAAATAACTCTTCAGAGAATTATGTATTATTTGTAAACACAAGTTATATCCCTTAACTATTATTCGCGATAACAAAGTAAGTTATTTTAATTGTTTTGCGCATGCGATTGTTTCCTTCTGTCGATAACTACATGTATAAAGTTTATCATATAAGTAAACAAGGCTTATGTATGTTAACAATGTTTATTTGTCTTGTTTTTCATTTAATGCTCTCTGTTCATTTCCTATTTTTTGCACAGCCTCCTACGATACACCGTGGTTAATTAATATTTGCAAGATACTTTTGCACTCTTTTCTTCATATATACGAGTATATATAAATATATTAGGGCCAGAACGTTTCTCTGAAAACGTAAAGTGCGGGTCATGACACTACGAGGTTAACGTTACGACAGAACAATAACAAAGTGTGACAGTACATTGACCAGTAAGACATTACAATATCAACAGTATGACGAAGCACGATGGTTATCGTACTAATGTACTTCGCCATCATACCGACGTATTGTCAACATCGTACTGGCATACTGTTACCATCGTTTTGTCGCTGTTAAGTGTGCGCATAATAAAATCTTATTAAAGAATAACTAACTAGCTGTTTTTTTTGTAAATAAACACATGTATACAACATGACTTACAGTCGAGCATCAGAGGAAAAGACCGTCACTTGTAGTTATTCAGTGCGTAAATTGTTAAGGGCATGGCTTCAGCCGTGCTTTAAATTATCAACAGAATTTCCGAAAATCTTTATAATTTTAAACTGATATTTGCCTGTGAAGTGCTTGGTGTTTATAATATCTTTCTTCCGGTCTCATTTATTTGAATAAATGAAATTGCAAAAATATATATTAAAAATCGCCTGCATTAGAGGAAAATCGTATTTTACAGTTCTTGAAAGATAACCAAAGAAAATGTAAAATTTCTCCGCATAATCATCGTATACAACAAAAACTAAAAAATCCGCTATTTATAACACAATTCATAGACGTTATACTTGGTTTTCTACGTGATCGCGTGAAAGAGTGGATGAAATTACCGAATAAGTAACGATTCGCCACAATAACGATTCGCCACAGTCAAAATAACGATTCGCCACCTTATGATTATAACAATAATTTTCTTAGTTCGAATGGCCCTAGTTCAATTCAATCAACAAACCTTTTCAAAAATAATTTGACAATGACAATAATATTTTTACTTAATATTCGTAATTTTTAGTTCACCCCACCCCCACTCTTTCACGCGATTACGTAGAAAACCAAGTGTAACTTCTATGAAATGTGTTATAAATAGCGTCGAACGACATATATGCCCCCTTTTCTAGCCATTGACTCACATTATTGGTAATTATGTTAGAGATACTTGCCATAAATTGATACATTGAAGTGTTCAATTATGGAAAATTCAATAGGGGTCATCTAATAGTTATGACCGATCAATCTTAGAAATATAAAGACTCTGTGATAAATAGCTTTCAAGATAATGAGCGGAAACCATACTAACATTCAAGAACCCTGTGACATTAACGTTTAAACTAGTGACCCAAAAATCAATAGGGGTCACTTACTAGTTATGACCAATCAATCTTAAAAATATGAAGACGTTGTGACAAATGGTTTTCAAGATAATCAGCGGAAACCATTCTGACATGTAAGGCCCCTATAACCTTGACCTCTAATCTAGTTACTCCAAAAGCAATACAGATCATCTGTTGGTTATGATCAATCACTATGAAATATAAAGACTTTGTGATCATTATCTTCAAGATAATGAGCTGAAATCATACTAACATTCAAAGACCCTGTGATCTTGATATTTGACCTGGTGACACCAAAATCAATAGGGGTCATCTTCTAGTTATGACCAATCAATTGTGAAATATGAAGAGTTTGTGATAAAAAGTAATCAAAATAATAAGCAAAAATCATATTACCATTCAAGGCCTCTGTGACCTTGACCTTTGACCTAGTGGCCCACAAATCAGTAGGTCATCTACTGTCTATGACCAATCACTATGTGAAATATGTAGAGTTTTGATGAATATTTTTGAAGATAATCAGCGGAAACCATTCGGACATTTAAGGCCCCTGTGACCTTGACCTTTGACCTAGTGATACCAAAATCAATAGTGATCATCTACTAGTTATAACCAATCACCATGTGAAATATGACGACTTTGTGATAAATTCTTTTCAAGATAATCAGCGAAATTAATTTTGACATTTAAGGCCTTGTGACCTTGACCTTTGACCTAGTAACCCCAAAATCAATAGGAGTCATCTACTTCATATGATCAATCACCATGTGAAATCAGACAACTTTTGTGATGAATACTTTTCAAGATCATTCTTAAAATTTAAGGCCCCTGTGACCTTGACCTTTGATCTAGTGACTTAAAAATCGATAGGGGTCATTAACTAGTTTTGACCAATCACTATGTGAAATATGAAGACTTTGTGATAAATATTTTTCGAGATGATCAGCGGAAACCATCTGGTCTACCGACGGACAGCTAGACCGACGGACCGACAAACAGACAGACCGACAATATACCCCCTCTTCTTCGAAGAGGGCATAAAAACACACAAAAATGTGTGTTTATTACGAAAATTGATTTACGAAAATTGATTAAAGATTGATTGATTGATTGATTGATTAGTTGATTAAAGTACGCATATCGCAAATCTTAAATATTTGTTACACCTTTAATCTAAACAAGCCAATCATCTTAGGATTGATATAGAAATATTTAAAGATCCTGTATGTTTTGTGATTGATATTGCTACTGTGTGAATA